TAGACTCTTAGCTTGTCCACCAGACCATAAGCATGCTTGCCCAAAATGAGCCCGCCTACCTGCTGTAGCGGATTTGTTGAGATAGTAGTCATACCCTTGCAATCTCAGCAACTTTACTGTAAGCGTATGCGAGTGATCCGATTCTCGCTAGATTACAGTTGCTGCATGTGTCGCAGCTGGTCTTCGGTCTTATGCTGTTGGTACAATGCCTATTTCAACTGCAATTCCACCTCGTCCTCTTGCTGGTCGTGTCAAAGCTCTTCATGCAATTGCAGCTGCTACTGTGCTTGTGTTGTGCTCCTGCTTATGCCTCCGCTCTACACCCGAAACTTTGATCCCTCCACCCTGAACCCTGTCTCCCTTCCCCTTTCTAAACCCTGCGGTCCCCAAAGTAGATAGAACATGGGGTATATGGGTATCTCATTATGATTTTTTATCAGCTCTATATGGTATCTACTTAACTTAAGGGAGACCATAAACCCTAAAAGCCCTAAAGGATCTTACCCTAAACCCTACACCCTAAACCTCCAGGATTCTGCCTCACGAAGTCCCGCAGCCCGCAGGGCCCGACGAGGTGCTTTGTGTGGGTTTGGGGTTGAGGGCTTAGGAATTGTTAGGGTTTAGGGTTTAGGGTTTAGGGTTTGGGGTGAGGGCTCAGGAATTGTTAATGGGGATGCTATAGTCCTCGATATAGATGAAGATTATCAGTTTCTCCTTGGTTTTAGCTTATAAATGATAAGAATGTACTTGGTAAAACAACCAAAAATGCTATATGTGGGCGTAAATACTTACCAATGTTATGGTCTGACTCATGGCGTAGGGTGCCTCAGACAGACTTCAATATCATATTGGTAATCAGTACTTGATGTGAACTTAGCTTCCATTTCACGTGCCCTCTCATTTTCAATTTGGTTCTCCATTCTTGGTGCTAGTTATCCTCCCCGAATCTTTTTTTAAACCACCATACACACCCAGTTTCAGTTTCATTTCCATGCTCTTTTCCAGTTTCTTTCCAATTTGATTCTCCATTATTGGCGCTTATACCCCTATATACCCCGATATAACCCTATATAACCCCAGGTAACCCTATGTACATTAAACCCTAAACCCTAAACCCCTAAACCCTTTATTGGGGGAACAAGTTCTTCAGCTTCAAGACCGGCCCGGCCGAGTCCCTGGACGGTTTAGGGCTTGGGATTTCCAGTGGTAACCCCAATGCAGCCCCTATATAGGGTTTAGGGTTTAGGGTATAGGGTTTAGGGTTTAGGGTATAGGGTTTAGACCCATAATAATGTAGTAGTTTCCATTTTCTTTTCCATTATCCCTATATAACCCCAATATATTACAGCAACCCTATGAGCCAAATCGCTCAAACCCTGAGCCTTAAAACCTCAACCAAACCCAAAACCTGAAGTCCAACCCAACATCCCTCATTAAGCTCATGCTGCATACCTAGCCCAAACCTGAAACCTCCAAACTTCACCTTCCCTTCAGGGTTTTGTGAACCGGGGGCTTCATCATGGGGACTCACACTAGGTTTAGGGTTTGGGGCCTCAACGTCAGGGTTTGCGTTTGGGGTTTAGCGTTTGGGATTCAGGGGCTTCGGATCATGAAATAGGGTTGAGAAAAGTTTGAGGAGCTTACCCTCCCCTAGGCATGGAACCCCAAGAAGGGTCCTAGAAAGACTACATACTGTCCTTTCAGAAGGGGCCCTGCAAGTTCCTGACTAGTTTGTGGTGGGGTTTAGGGTTTGGGGATTGTCAGTAAGGCGATGGGGAAAGTTGATTACCCAGAGCAAGTAGCAGTCAAACTTATTGTAGTTGCCCTCGCATGGTAAGATAATGTTTCCCTTCTTCATTGCACATCTCTTTGGAAGCCATAGTCCCTAAACCCTAAACCCTACTTGATTCAATCCCCCCCCCAAAACCCGCTAGACCCAAAGGGTTCCTACGGCAGCAAGGTGCTGGAAGTTGGCGGAGATGTCGCTGACAGGGAGGCCCAGATGGCCCCTTGGTTCAGCACATGAGCTATAGTCTAAACTCCTTAAAGGGGGGCTATATAGGGTTTA